GCATCGTGAGTGTTCATTTCACGCATTTACCAGCAATTCAGGCTCATAAATGACACCACCCTTCATATTCACTGATGATTTCGATATCGACACTGCTTATAACTACAAACACCTACTTAATATTAAGCAGTTTTTGTGTAATATATATTTTAAAAAAAGTGGAAATACCATTTAAAACCTCAACCCCTGAAACTGGAAATTTTATCAAGATATTTCGAAGTCGGGATAAAATTTTCATTTAAATGTTTAGTAATCTTTTCCTCATATATATATATATATATATATATATATATATATATATATATATATATATATATATTGTACAGGTAATAAATTCGTTGGTATATGATCCAAGTGGATCCTAGTAATATTAAATATGAAAACAGATCCGCGAAAAGAGCATAATGTATTTATGATAACAGAGCATATAAATTACACAACAAAATACAAAATCACGTCATATGGGGGATATAGATCAATATCAACCAAAGAGAAGTACGTTTGTCTTATTCAACCCCGGCGTACAGACTGTGTTCATGTCGGAATTAGAAATTTAAAATTTAACTTTGACTGCAGTCGAAAAATTGATACAGAATTTATCAATTTCAATGTTACACACAAAATGGCCAAGTCAGTGGTACGGAGAGGGTTGTAATTATTAGCCTTAAATGGAAGAGGTTTCATAAAATTAACCCGGATATTAAACTTATGTCATCAAATTGTGGTTATATGAAGAATGAAGTCTTAAAGTGAAACTAAAAGAGAGCCGTAAAGAGAGTTTATATATATATATATATATATATATATATATATATATATATATATATATATATATAAACTAATTATATATATAAAATTAGGTTCTGCTTAAAAAATAAATTATATTTGAAATGAGATATATTAAAACAGATAAACAATAATTCATATTTACATAATTTATCTTGAATTTACGTAAGAATATAATATTATATCAAACAATAAAAACATTAAGAAAAAGTAAATTAACCATTTTTAAATTTAAAGATAAGTTTAATCCATTTATCTTTAAAAATAAACCATAGCAAGTTATATTATGAAAAAACCAGAACAAATATTTTAAAATATATAGATAAAGAGATGTAAGTGACAAAGGAAAAGAACGTTCTTAGAATAGAGGACAATTATAAGACATAATTAATAAGGTGAAGTAATGGAAATATAGAAATTAGAAATAGTTATACATTCAACATTTGAAGAGTTAGAGATTTAAAAAGTAATAAAATAAAATCTATATTATAGAAGTTAAAATCTGCATTCATGTCGACATTTTAAACTAATTCATTCTATTGATTTAATTGTTTACTTTGGTTATTCTATTATTATTCTAATTTTGCCCTCTAAACACAAGCTACACCTATCTCTAAAATAATTAGTGTTATGAGTGAAACCTATGCTTTTCCAGTTTGTCTGTAGTTTCAGACCATTTTCCTTCAATTTCAAAATTTTTTGAAAGAGCTGTCTTGTATTTTAATTAAGGGTTGTTAAAAGTGTGGCTAAGGATATAAAATCTCTGTTTCCATTCCCTCGGTGAAATTACAAAATAAACATAATAAATTAACATATTTTCTTAGGGGGAATGTTTGCTTGGTATATTACCCTAGTAGATCTGCATTTTCCCTCAAATAACTTTCTTTATCTCAACAATTACAGGAGTATTACATACCAGGTTTGTTGTTTATTTCATAGAAATTACTTAAAATATGGTTGTTATAAGAGTTGATAATTTTTTACATCTTATTGGTACAGGAATAGCTAATTTTAATTGTTTTCCTATTGAAGATCGTACATAGAGGGTTGTTTTTGTGAAAATGTTTATTTATTAAATTTAGAAAAGTTTGCAGAAGTTCCAAGTATAATGGCTATCTGTCTCACCGTGACATTAGGAAGGTTAGAATTAAGATTAATATATTTGAGGTTTCATTCTCTTAATAGTATGGTTTAAAGGGGTTTTTTTTATGAGGTAAAAGGTGATGTCTACATAAACAATTATTTTAAGGTTAGAAGAAATCTCGATCCTAAACCCAAGTAATTTAAATCCCTAATGATTTTCTTTTGTATCTTCGCTATTCGTGGACCATTAGAGGGGAAAATGAGTTCATCATCTCTATATAGAGATTAGTTTGGGATCTATAATTCTTCTAGTTGTAATTTAAATATAAAAACATACTAAATCAGCAAACTGGGCTGAATCATAAGCTCACATAGGGACATCAATATAAATATCATATATATATATATATATATATATATATATATATATATAGAGAGAGAGAGAGAGAGAGAGAGAGAGAGAGAGAGAGATATATAGAGAGAGAGATTTGAAATTTTATCTAAATGATTTTCTTCTTGCGTATATATATATACATATATGTTTATATGTGTGTGAATTTATTATATATTTTATATAAGAAAATCATATTGATTATATTTTTATACGTCTGTCCGAAGACAAAAGGTAATAGATACCATAGAAAAGTAATATGCAGTTATTAATATAAGCAAAGCTGTAGCTTATTGGTTCCAGTCATGATATTAACTAAAATGTATTTATTGAAAATTAATCAGTTGACTATAAAACGATAGACGAAATAAACAAACAACCACTTCAATTTTCTCATAAATTCTGAATTTTGAGTACTGAAAATAGTTTTTTCTTGGTCAATCAGAAAACTTTCACATGAGTCATCAATATTATAAACATCAATATTATATTATACAACCTCCTTTGAAACAATATATATATATATATATATATATATATATATATATTTATAATTTAAATATATATATATATATATATTTAAAAATATATATATATATATAATATATATATATATATATATATATATATATATATATATATATATTTGATTTGACACTATTTAGCGTTTGGCTAACTAATTAAGCGTGAAAATTGAAAGCGAGAAATACTTAAGGCGAGAAGAAGCTATCACGATAGACAGACTGAACGATGTTATTTTTTTAACAAAGATAAGTGGTAAAGATTTTATGTTTCATTTGCGAAGAAAAGTATTTTTTTTCGCAGAAGATAGGAAATTCGTAAGATCTCGCATCTGTCGGAATTAATTTATGCTAAGACGCGGCCAATAAAATACATGGCAATAATGAAAATTTAAAATTGGTCAAGTGGCTCGCTGGGCGAAATGCTGGCAGATAATCGTATTTAGGTCGGGGATGCAACCGAGAAAAAGGATCAGCTGAGACCACCCCAAAGTAAAAGGAAGGGAAAAGAGAAAAAGGAAAATAATAAACCATTAACTATCTTTCTGAGATATCATTTGGTTTTGGAAAGGGACCACCTGTTTTATGTCCAGACCTGGCCATGATAAAAGTTTGTTTTTTGGACAGATTGTGGCGACAGAAGTACGAAGGTGTTGAGGATAGAAGGAGATTCTGATAATCACTTGACGAAAATCTCGTTGATGTGTTCCAGATGACATTCATTAAGAACGGGACTTAATGACCACACTACGAGTCGTGGGGGTCCCAGTCGGGGAATAGAAAGAAAAGAAAAAGGAAGATAATTTTTTTCTTTGATCGATAATTGTAAACTGAGCCCAGACCAGCCACCCCCACGCTGCCGAGTGTTCATTGGCTGAATGTTGGCGTGAGCAGTGGGCGAAGGTAAACATATGAGAAAGAAGCCTCTGAGGGGATTTGTGTGAGATACCACTATGAGAAAGAAGGGAAACATGTTGACGCCCTCTGAGGGGATTGGTGTGAGATACCAATATGAGAAAGGAAGAATTTTGGAGGACAATTCCCTTAAGAACCCCTCTAAAATAGAAAGTAATGGACTTCCAAAAATGGAAAGTGATAAATTTTCCTGTCCGAAAACAAAGAAAATCCTTATTGCGGATTTGGAATTATCGAGGAACCGAAACTACGACAGGCCCCCACCCGGTTTTGGTCGGCGTCCATATAACGAACGTCAAAAGAGTAGCGGACAGTAGCAGTGGCAGTTGGGCAGACGCAGACAGAGTGATAGAGCTAACAGAGTTGAGCTGTGAACTCGCAGACCAGACTCGCAAAAGCGGACTGAAAGATATCCACGCATTCCGACTTAGACTGCTAACCAAAAACATTTTTTTTTGAAGAACGACTTAGACTCACACCACCAAAACAAGTTTTACGAATATCGCCTGAAGACACCAAAAGCCAGTTTCTTGAAAAACAACTTAAGATATTAAGACACGCCTAACAAACGCAAAGTGTCACGTATCCATAGCAGCGATTTGGGAGAAAGATGCAGTCCTGTATTCAGCAACCAGATATAAAAATATTTGTTATTCTTTTTTTAACACATTTGAACCTTTCGAGTTGTTACTTTATTTTCTTTTACATATACTTGTGCGATGTCAGCTTTGCTCGAATTCGGCTTGCATTACGGCCCGGCGACTGATTGATTTCGTCTACCTAAGATCAAATCAAAACGTGGGTAGGTTAGACTAGAAATCAAAGCAGTTACTTCGGTAACCAGACGTTGGAGGCGAGCTGGGAACGACAAAGCTGATACCGAATTTAACCAGATTCCCATCCGAATCAGCCAAGGGTTAGAACGTCACATTTGGCGCCGTGACCAATACCAAGTCACATTGGTCGTCGCAGGTTAAAACGAGGGCAGAGGCACGGGGTGACGTCACACACACACACACACACACGCACACACACACACACACACACACACACACACACACACATATATATATATATATATATATGAGTGTGTGTGTGTGAGAGTTTTTGTGTTTGACTATACGTGTGTATGTTGGTCAGTACATATATATATATATATATATATATATATATATATATATATATATATATATTGAGAGAGAAGGAGGGAGAGAAAGAGGGAGTGAAAAAATGGTGAATCTTAGAGTGAAAGAAAAATTCAAAACGAAAAAATACAAGTCAGTATGAAAACCAAACTCTATCGCTTACGGCCATATAACATTCAAACACCGGTTCCCGTACGATCACCGAAGTTAAGCAACACGCTTCACTGCTCAGTACCTAGATAGGTGACCGTTTGAGAATACCAGGTTCTTTAAACTTGGATGTGACGTTAATGTAATGAATAATGTCGCGGAATTTATCGGACAGCCAAGATCTAATTCCAGTCGGGTTCATTATGTTCATTTACGTGCATATACCCTTGCGAAAGTTATGGATCTACCTCTTCTCCCCACCCCCACCAGCTACGGATTAAGTATTAAGACTTGTATCACTAAACCATTATTATCTCCAAGAACGAATATTAAATTACGTGTAAAATATTTAGATTTCGTTATTAAACAGCTCATAGATATACCGTTAAACAGATACAAATCAACACAATTCATTAACAATCCTCATTACAAGAAAAGCATCCTATTGAAAATGGTTGAATTAATTTAAGAGCTAAATTTCCCATGTGTTCTTATAATTTCTATCTAGAAATATAAGAATGTTTATTTTTCAAACACGGTCAGCATATTGTGGCCGTGTTCATAGTTAATATTATTGAGTGTTGGCTTTTTCTATTTATTTATGATGCTTCCATTATTTATAGCCTTTTGGTATATTTGGATGAGGCTGTTATATTTGTATTATCACCTAGTACGTTATGGATATAGTTTAGTAAAATCCATCTGTATTTAAATTAGATTTAATCAAGTCATAAATTCAGCTAAAAGTAAAATAAAATTCATCCTTGATAATGGCTAAAATTATAGCTGAAAGCGCTCGTAAAACATACGGAAATTTTTATATATTTTGTGTCCAGAAACAAGAAATTATATAAAAAATCAACGGCAGCACCTTTGTCAGTCGTTTTAAATGAAACTTGCATATATATATATATATATATATATATATATATATATATATATATATATATATATATATATTCAGGGGAAGGGAGAGTAGGAGGAAGTGTTTGGTATATAGAAAAGTGCAAAAGTCACAGGTAAATAATGTATGATAGAATATGAAAAGATTGTCCTGCGCCAAACTCATAGCGAAAGAGGGAGTTTCAAATTTCTCTTTCATTGCTTATTCGCAGTGACGTCTCAAAGCCAACCATATCAATCATGTGTAGATATGAAAAGAGCAATATAGACAGGTAATTACCAGCGAGAGACGTCTGTAAAACTCAATATTAATAGTGAGTTGCATTAAGAGATTGAAAACAAAACCTCACGGCAATATATGACCTTTACCCGGAAGAAAATCAAATTAATCTAATTCATACTGATAGTGTTATTGTTGTTGTTGTTGTGGCCGTTGTGAAGCTAATTGTTTTTGGCGTCTATTTTCTTGTTCTTTCTCTTGTCATTATCAATTCTTTGACCTTGGCAGCAAACTATGTAACCAGAACGACCTTCAGGCTGCCGCCAAGTTGCAACCCTATTGATTTCATTTACAAGAAGCAAGGATCATTCACAGAGCTTACAACATAGCCTCTGCTCCAACAACGTGTTCGTCACGATAGAACAGCGATGGTAAATATTGGACGAAAAACGTCTTCTCAAAAACCCTAAAGTGCTATTGGGTAATGAATGATGGAAGCGGAAGTGGTTTCTGTCAGGGATGTAGATCTATTAGAGAAAATTACCTATATCCCAGTGGTACTTTCGGTCGGTGTTCGAGTTCAAGGAACAACATAGACTGTGAATGGAAATTTGTAAAAAATTCAAGGTCTAATGATTTTCATAATTAATGAAAACAATCTTTCGTTTTTTTGCATTTTTACATTTCATTTTGTGATGGACTCAAATCTGCAACGTAAATATAGAATTACTTACAAGATCATTGAAGGCATCTAATTTTTACAACTTTTTCATTATATTAACATTATACCAAATGCAATGAACACACTAACATACACTCGTAAATACATACATACACACATATAAATACATACATGCACACACACATATGGATAGATAGATATATATGAACAGGATGAGGCACATAGATTTGAACTGTCTGAGATAGATAGATAGATAGATAGATAGTAAGTAGTGAAAGAAGTTGTATGTTAATGAATGTTTGTGTATTTATCTACATCAAGCATTAATTTATTTGGTTGTTATATGTAAATGTTGATATATCTTCCACCCTCTCTCTATATATAATTCAGTCAATAAAAATATATATATACATTATTCAGATGAAGCCATTTTAGAGAATAAATGCGTTACAACGTTTCCTACTACGTCCCTCAAATATGCAACAATATTTAAATAAAAATATCTAATTTCTATATTCTTTCGGCTTTTGTCAATCATTATTACATATTTTTATGCTATGTGCCTTTCTCCATTTTCATAAAATCACACACTACTGAATAACTTGTTGCAAATAAATTTGCATTCTCTAACTCAACACACATATTATATATATATATATATATATATATATATATATATATATATATATATATATATATTGAGATTGGTCTAAGCCCAAGGATAACAGAACTGTCGCGCCATAAGAGAGAGAAGTTATATTTAAAATGGAATCGAAATGGCACAAAAACAAAAACTCTTTAACTTGTTAAAATTAGATTGCCTACCACTTAAATACAATCTAAATATAAGCTGTGATACAGCGAAGTTGTATTGTCTGCGAATGACATACACACACGCACACACATACACGCACATTACAATCGTTTTCACCCCCAACAAAGGCAGTGTAGCCACTATCACGAAAGGCGGTACAGGGTGTGGACTAATTAGGAACAGAAATATTAGCAACGAGTAAAAAGAGAAAAGAGCAATCATGAGTAATTTTTGCAGATTAAATTTGGTTGAAAAAAAATAGAGATGGGAGGAAGTTACACAAGCGAGAAGTGCGAGAAAACTTTTAGTATATATTTTACATCTCTCTTGCTCAACTTCCATGGATGGAACTAGTTTTTTTATTGATTTTGCTATTTTGGCAAGCCCTTTCCAGGAGGGAAAAATTTTTTTGATTTTCCTTGGCTGGATACAAACCAGTGCAGTTTTGGTTTGCTTATCAAATTGAACTCACCGGTGGGATATAGGGTATTCATTTTATTACAAGTCACTGGCTACCTGATGATTGTGTGAAAACACATGAAACTAATAATAGTCGCCAGTCGTTGCCGGCCTGGTTATTTGAATATATATATATATATATATATATATATATATATATATATATATATATATATATATATATATATATAATGATATAATATAATATATATATATATATATATATATATATATATATATATATATATATATATATATATATATATATATATATATATATATATATATATATATATATATATATATATATATATATATATATATATATATATATATATATATATATATATATATATATATATATATATATATATATATATATATATTCGTTTTGTTATTCGTTTTGCAAAAGTTGTATTTTTGTGCAAGTAAGATGATTTGTTTTTCATATTTTGTCACTATTTTCAAAATGGACACCTTGTCCATTTGCACTTCAAATTTATACTTGTTTATAGCAAGAAGCAAATTGGAATGTCCTTTTTGTAAATCTACATAGTAAATTGAATGACTGAGAAGAACGAAAATATAGATTCCACTTGAAAGGCGTCAGATAAATACGTTCCCATATCATTTAATATGGCCTTCTCAGTGCAATGTTTTACATAGATATTCGCTTGTGCGTGAATAGGTTCTATTGGTTTGAAGTAAACTAATGTCTTGAAGATTATGCAACTCTAATAAATCGTGATGATTTCTCGCATTTAAATTATCACCCCACTTATTGACTTACGCAGACGAACATCGATTGTTTACTCGAATAAAATTACACAGCTACATTAACTTTGGATTTTTAGTTCTAGTCTTTGTGAATGCGTATTTTCGCTTCTCCCCTGGTCGGTCAAAGGCACGGTTTTTTTTTTCTAATTTAATTTAAAAATATTGATCACAATCTCTATGGTTTTATTTTTAGCTAAAAAACATAAAGTGTCTAGAAGGCCGGGTGAAAATTTCTAGAATTCTACCAGTAATGCTTTTTCAAAATAGCTGTCTTTCTGCTCAAGAACAACGCAAGATCGTCTTTAGAAAGTTTCTGTTTTGAAGAGAAGAAATATTTGCAAAACTGTTAAAGTTGTTAGCGAATGTATTTCGAAAGATTGCTTTTGATATTAAAAAAATATTTGGATAGTCCAGGAAATCTGTTTGCAAACCTACAGAAAAAGATGAAATTTGTTTTAGTGACAAGCCCCGCAGTGGCCAGTCAGTTGCTGCTAGGAATGAAATTAAGGTCAAGCGATCTAAAGTTTCAATTACTTCCAAGAAAATCAATATTGCTAAAATCTGTAAAACCTTTCAGTTTGAACGTGGGAATTATCTGACGGGAAATACCGTCTTCGGCTACCTAGGCTTTGTACAGTGTGGGTTGCTAGAATGATCTAAATGTGCTCTCAGAATTGTTGAAGGAGTACAACTTTCTTCCAAATAGCTTTTGTGTGGGCCTAAAACGGAAGCATTAAGAGATATCTGTTATCTAATGATGAGATGAAAAAGGTAGCTTGCACCTTCCTATTAAAGCAGCCAAGGTATTTCTACGCTGCGGATATATGTAACCATATTGAAAGGTGAAACAACACCTTTGAAAATTAAACAGATTATGCTTTTGGCGAGATTTAATATATTAACATTTATGCATCCATTTGTGTATCGTTTGTTTAACTGTATGATTATACTCTTATAATTAAACAAGATATTCCACGTTATAAGTGAACGTTATGTATGCCTATATCTATCCACGTGTGTATTTTGAATAAATATAAACACACATGTAGATACATGTGGGTGTAACACACAAACACAACCATATATATCGGGTTTCAGTCCTGGCTTGAAGTAGTTGGATGTCTAGCTACTTTGTTGAGCTATGGTACAGTGAAACAGGACAGTATGTGGACGATATATATATATATATATATATATATATATATATATATATATATATATATATATATATATATAGGAAATATTTGTTTGTATCTGAATA